ATCACTAAACATATGTGCACTTTAGCAACAACTAGAAACACGGCATGATGGCCTCTCTCTGCAACGTCAAGAAGCCAATCACTTCGTCCAAAGTTTTTTCTTTTCGTTTTTGTTTCTTTCCAAAGAGGTGCATGCAGCAGTGGCACTCAAGAATCCACACACACACACCAACAAATAAAAGAAAAACAAAAACAAAAGAGAAAAAGAAATTAGAGGCTCGGGACGAGCCACCTTTGGCTTTTATGATGTTTTGCTTTTTTTCCCATCAAAGAAAGGATGGAAGCAAAGTAAGATGGAGACAAACGAAAGTACATATACTAGATCAGATTGGAAAAAAATAAAGAAAAGAAAAAGAAGCAAAATATAGAGAAGAAATAAAGTCCAAAGAAGTTTTCTTATCAGAGAAAAAAGACCATTTAATTGCCTATTGGATAAAGCAATAACTCTCTCTCTCTCTCTCTGTCTGTCTGAGAGGAGGAGAGAGAGAGAGAGAGAGAGAGAGAGAGAGAGAGTCAAATTAAGCATGTCACATGCTATGGTATGTTGACAATACTTGAGGACATGCCATTGCCATAGCTAGCTATTGCCCATGCATGGACACATTTTCTTGTAGCAATGCATGCATATTCATTCTAAGACATTATATATAACATGCCCTAAGAAATTAGAATTAAATAAGTACATGGCTAGAACCCACGTGCATTCACGTAAATAATATATGAAAGGGAGAAAGAAAAAAAAGAGAGATTGTTTGCTTTGCTTTATTCTTTCGTTAGGTGGAATATGGACTTACTTCCATTCTACCCCACCTATATTTTATTCATTTTAACGAATTAACAACAATTTAAGACATTCTCTTCTTCATTCTGCTGGTCAACTAGAAAGGTGACACGTACTTCATAGTTAGGTTAAAATCAATTTGCAACTTAATTTAAAACTAAACCATCTTAAACATGTTTTCCAATGTCTATGCTTTGTGTCTGCAAATATATGTACTTTCCTGTGCGATCTGATTAATTAATTACATCGTGAAGCTAATGCATGGTTTTAATATTGTTCTCAGCTTGCTTTAGTGCCTAACCTGGTACACTTTCATCAAAGCCATATTGACAATATTTGTTTTTAAAATGGCATCCATTTGCTGAGGTGGATTTAACGTTAATCTTTTATCGTTGAAAAGAACGTGACCGTGACCAAGAGGAATATAATCGATATGATCATAAAATTTGGATTAAGGAAGAAAATACAGCACCTCTTATCGACTGCACCTCCTTGAGTCTTAATAGGTCCACCACTATCCATGAGGATGTGGTATAGTAAAAAAAATAGGAACTGAGGCCAAGCGTCCATTGGTGGCTGGCTGCTAATGATATCATAACAATCATTAGTCACATTAATCAAATATTAAGGTGGGCATAAACATGGTGATATAATGATGATTAGCAGAACAAAGCAGTCGAGAGAGAGAGAGAGAGAGAGGTGTTTGAAATTTAAGCCAAAAAGAATGGTCAAGAAAAGAGGGCGCCTGCCCACTTAATTAATTATATATATATATGACTTATGCAGAATCTGATCATCTTTAACATGCGTCTAGATAAGGTGGCTTTATTCAAAACTGAAAAAAGAGAAAACGTCAACAAAAAAAAAAAAAGGCGTTTGATGTTTTTTGTGTGTGGTTATAACGTTTGATGATCAATGTGCTGTCACAAATGCACTTATCTGCGGTGGTTTATATTGTCATGTAATATTAATTTACTTATGTTATAATATATATGTATTTATTTATTAATAGTACACCTAAGTCTATGACATATCAGTCATGTTGTTCATTCATATTATAACATGTGAATTAGTAACATCACGTGACAGTGTGATCATCACATTCAAAATTTATCCATAAGAGGTGCTTGTGGTTTATCTTAATAGCCACTTTAGGAACTGTAGTTTTAATCTTGTAAATTTTGTCCATGTGGTTTACTTTTACTATCAATTTTAGTTGAATGTTCAGTTTCCTTCAATCGGTATAACTTGGCGTCCACATGTAGTGATATAAATCTCTAATTAAAGCTTTAATTAGAATTCTTCCAACTTATAAAGTGGAATTGGACACATAAACATTAAAACACCTTTGCAAATGAAGTGCATGCATGTGGTGGCCAAGTTATATAAATTAACTAAGCGAAGGGGAAATTGAAAGTATTTTGTTCTTCATGTTTGATAAGTCCAGATGTGACAAAAAAAAGTTCATTGCCTCAAGTGAAGGGGAAATTGAAAACACATCTAGCTTGAGTTTCATTTTCCTTTTTCCAAAGGTAAATCAATGCAAACACTAATTTAAGTTTTTCATGAGCAATATGCTCTCATCAATAATTAAAAAATTCATGGGAAGTCAAGCTAAGATGTAACTTTAAATTTTAATTTATTTCACTAATTAGGATGTTAAATTCAAAATCAGCCTGGTTTTCATTGACATAAAGTTATGAAACCTTAATAGCAATTGAGAAGATATGCATGATTGTTTTTTATTGTTGATGAACATGCATAAAAAAGATTAAATAATTGCATGACACTTTTTTAAAAGAAATTTTAAAAGTGAGTTTAGATCTTGGATCTACGTGTCATATCATCACCATATCAATATAATGAGATATGCTATGACATTTAGACCTCAGTGTTTCTCTTTGGACACTATGCCATCACCAACTAAATTGACAAATCTGGAAATGAATTTCCTGTCATCTTCAAACTCTATAGTATTCTTTAGAATAATCATGCCCCCCATCAAATATTAATGCATATGGTCGTAGGCCATAGTCAAGATTGCATGAAAGGAAAGGTTCAACACATATATATTATTAATTAAATTATAAACTACTATTGAATTTACAATGTTAGAAGAGATAACAAGTTTGAATCCCCTTTTTTCGGGAATTCAAAATAATAAAAAATTCTATACTTCAAGCTCACTTCAAATCACAAGTTTAAATTATAAACTACTACTGATGATGTCTTGTTTGGCTCCTACAAGTTTTGATCAAACAAATGAGCTATATATGTTATAGCTAGCTTAGTAGATTTTGTTAATCTATTCTTTGATAGCTTAAACTTTTAAAAGACATTAATCGTATTCTTCTTTGAGATTAAAGTATAAATTCTCAGGGAAATATCACGCCTAAACCTAGAATCTGAAGGGCTTGGGTTAAAAACTTACAATCCCCATACGGTACCCACATTTTATTTATAGGTTGACATCACGGTATGGATATACTTCCCGTATTTCAATTAATCCAACCCCTTAATTATGTGTAACATCAAACACATCATTGGATTAGTATTAACCATCTGCAATGCGATTCAATTCTACTTCATAAACTCTTTAACATTTTTCTCCAAGCACTTGACGCGTATGCTCTACTATGCATCTCTTGTATTTGTGCTCTAGTTGTAGAAAACAGGAGTATCCCCTGAACTGAAATAAGTATGAACTTGATGGCCCTCCTTTGGTTTTTCTTTTTAAACACAAATTTGCTTAGACACGCATGCATGCAAATCCACTCGTTAATCTGATCACAAATGAAATGGTGCAAGTACAGCATCCCATATACATAAAAACACCATGGCCCATATGATCACTAAACATATGTGCACTTTAGCAACAACTAGAAACACGGCATGATGGCCTCTCTCTGCAACGTCAAGAAGCCAATCACTTCGTCCAAAGTTTTTTCTTTTCGTTTTTGTTTCTTTCCAAAGAGGTGCATGCAGCAGTGGCACTCAAGAATCCACACACACACACCAACAAATAAAAGAAAAACAAAAACAAAAGAGAAAAAGAAATTAGAGGCTCGGGACGAGCCACCTTTGGCTTTTATGATGTTTTGCTTTTTTTCCCATCAAAGAAAGGATGGAAGCAAAGTAAGATGGAGACAAACGAAAGTACATATACTAGATCAGATTGGAAAAAAATAAAGAAAAGAAAAAGAAGCAAAATATAGAGAAGAAATAAAGTCCAAAGAAGTTTTCTTATCAGAGAAAAAAGACCATTTAATTGCCTATTGGATAAAGCAATAACTCTCTCTCTCTCTCTCTGTCTGTCTGAGAGGAGGAGAGAGAGAGAGAGAGAGAGAGAGAGAGAGTGTGTTGTGTGAAAGGAAACCTACTGGACTGGCAAGCACAAGCCCCAGGCCACGTTTCTGCACTGTCATATACTTTATCCAAATCCAGAAGAAAATCAAGAAAAAGAAATTCAAACCGAATCACAGGCGTTATCTTTTATCTTTGCGGGAGCCAGTGCTGCTGCTTCTGCTTCTGCAGCTGTTGCAGATTGCAGAAACCAGCTAAGCTTAGACTCTGCTCTCAGCAGAATCAAATAGTACCCCCCACCCATCAGCCATAAGATTTTGGAGACGGTCATTCCAAACTTCAAAGCAAAAAAAATCATGAACCCCACATTCCAAAACCCCATTCAAAGACAACCACAAATCCATAACCAAAGAAAAGCAACTTCGAATTTTCATTTCAGACTTTTGACACCACCAAAGAGCCAAAGAGCCAAAGAGCCAAAGGCCAAGAGCCAACCCATACCCCAACAGCAGCTGATGATATACGCTCGGACAAGACAACATACACCATTGAGTTATCTTTACACAATAACCCCAAAACTCACCACTTCCATTAATTTCTATCCTGAAAAAAACCAAAAAACAAAACCCCTACATTTTGTTTATTTTATTATTATTTATTTTTAAAACATAATTCATAATATCCACCTTTAATATTTTGATCAAAACACTACCACTAATTAGCATCTGCATAATAATTACAGACATTTGTCCAAAGAAACAGCTTCTAAATTATAAATTAACAAAATTAACAGTAACTTCCAAATATCCAAATTTTGATATAAAAAAACACTACTATTAATTAACATCTAAATAATTATTAATAGAAATAGAAATAAAAATTTGAGCAAAAGAACAGTACCCAGAAGAAGGCAACAGAGTAAGAGAAACAGCTTCTAAGTTCTAAATTCACAGTAACCACTAAGTACCCATTTCAAGGGAAACCAAAGAAACCAAAAACCCCACAACAAAAAGAGAAAAAAACAGAAAATTAACATTTTCAGTAAGGCGGTGGAGGTGGTGGTTGCCTTGCAGTTGGAGCCCAGAGGACATCAGTAGGCAAGTGGCAGCTATACATGGACATCCCACATGACTGCGATGGCTGCGGCGCGTGCCCCCCACTCTCCACACCCCCAGACAACGGCGGCGAGTGGGGATCACCCGAACCAGAGTTCCTAACCGCCTCGTCTTCCCCGGGAAGCCGATGATAAGACGGGTTGTTAAACGACGCGGCGATGACGTACACAGTCCCAGCCGCCACGAGGGCCCCGGCCACTAAGCCGCCGACGATCTGGCCTTGCGGGCCAGCGAGGGAGATGGTGAAGCCGCTGGGGACGGAGACGGGGCAGGACGGTGTCGTTTGGGGGAGGAAGGTGGCGGAGATTGACAGGATGTCGAAGCGGCCATGAAAAGTAACAGTAGCTCCGGGTGTAGTTGACGGTTGACGGAGAGTGACGTTAGCAACGGTTCCGGAGCCGGTGAGAATGCAAAGGCCGATGTTTTTGCGACAGCAGAAGCGGGAGACGGCCTCGACGACGTCGCTTCCTCCCGGGACTTCGAGAATGTAGGGGCTCATAGGGGGCTCAGAGTCTCGGGTGATGATGACGGGGGGTTTGGGCTTGTTTTTGGAGCCAGGTGGACGGCCTCTGGGCCGTCTGATGACCTCGATGGTGGCGCCGTCGGCAGATGGGTTGGAAGGGTCGGCAGCGGCTGAGGACTTGGGGTTTTGGGCGGAGGGGTTGGTGGTGACGGTAGCGGTGCCGCTGCTGGTGCGGCTTGTGTCTTCTTCCTCGGAAGTCTGGCATTCGCGATGGGTGGTGATGGCTTGGAATGGGTTTGGGAAGTGGTGATGCTGGTGTTGCTGGGTTTGGGTTTGGTGGTGTTGCTGGGTTTGGTGTTGTAGGTGGTGGGGGTGGTGAAGCTTGGAGAACATGCTTTGAGTTTCACCCTTGGTGTCAACATATTCACCTTTCATCTTTGTTTATGTATTTTTGTTGTTTTTTTTTTTGGGATTTTGGGTTTTTTTCTCTCTCTCACTCTAGCTAAAACTAGGCTAGGTGTGTGATTGGTGGGTGGCTTTTGTTGTTGTTGATATATGAATAAAAAAAAGAAGGGAAGGAGGCGGGGGATTTTGGGGTGATGGGTTTTTGTGGATTTTGCTTGGATTTGTTTATGAGGTTGATAGAGAGGGAGGGAAGGGGGAGGCAAAGAAAAGAGAGATCGAGTAAGAGGAGAGAAGGGTTGGTGTTTGGATTTCTTTATAATAAATTGAGGATGAGGATCATGCTATGTATGCAACCAGACTAATGAGAGAGAAAGAGAGAGGAAAGAGAGGAGAGAGAGGGGAGGGGGAGGTGGGGGAGCTTGGAAACTAAGTAAAGACTAATGGCGCCGCTGGTTGGAAGAGCTAAAGTAGGGTCCACACATCACGCATGAGAGAGAGAGAGAGAGAGAGAGAGAGGTGTACAGCAGTCATTGAGGAAAATCAGAAAAATGGGTATTGGTTAACTCAACCCTTTGTTGCACCGCCTTACTATTCTTTTCTCAAAGTTTGAGAGAGAGAGAGAAGAGAGAGAGAGATGGGATGAGTCTTTGAGGGCCTTCCTAATCCCGACCGAGTGGATTGAAAGTGACTGGGATTGATGGTCTAGTTTTGGGCAATGGGGGATGCCTTCAATATCTTTGCTTGTTTTCTTCTCTCTCTAGCTATCATTAGCACCATACCCCCTCTAGCTAGCCTGTACTGATTGGACTGGACTGGACTGCACTGCACTGTCATGCATTCTTAATCCCAACCCAACCCACAAAAAGATTCAAAGACAAAGAAACAGAAGATTGGCTTTGTTTAATTTCCATGCGCTTTAAAAACATGTTTTAAGCCTTGATCAAAGGGGGAGGAGGTTCAAAGCTCATTATCATCATTTTGCTTAGAAATCAATATTCAATCCCTCATTTTTGTATATAATATGGGATCTAGAAGAACTTTGGATTTGTCGCTTTCCCCAACTCAGAAAGATTGGGTACTTTTTTTTTCTTTTTTTTTTTGGTTTGTTGCCAATTTAAAACCAATGCAGATGTATAACCTAAACAAAAAACAAAAGTGGACCACACTCTGTGTCATGAATCATGATTAATGGACTGGCCATGGCCAAAAGAGTTGTCCTTACGTATAATAAGGACACTCTTTGAGCATGTACACACAACACAAATCAATTCCATATCAAGATAATCCTATTCCTATCCTCGTTTGGTATGTGAATTAGTTGTCTTAAAACTTATTAAATATTTGCTTAACTACTAGTTTTTATAGTATTGTAATAACCATTATGGAAAGCAGTCAAAGTCAATGCACCTTCTTGTTCTTGTAGTATCACCATCAAGGTTGGGGTTCTTGACCAAAAAAAAAATCAAGGTTGGGGTTTAATAATATAATAGGATGCCAATTGGTTGGTTGGTGTTGGGTAATAAATATATCGGAAATCTCCAATTCAAATACCACTTTGTTTATTAAATAAGTCAGAAATCTCTAATTCAAATATGACACGTGTATTAAACGGGAAACAAGACACTACTTGTTAAAAAATCTCCATTGGATATGGGGCAGATATGGTATTGGCATCCCCATCCTCGAACTCGGCTCGATATATAAACACTTAGATAATCAATATACTTAATACTTCCCATTCCAGCAATAAAAGGAAAAGAAAAATAGAACTAACCCCAACACTTATTGTGTGGCATCTGCTCTCACCCTCTCTCATTTTTGTTTCCTTCTTACATCAATGTATCTTCTCTGCTTATTGTTCTTTTCCACCTCCTCTCTTCTTCTTATTCTTCTTATTCTTCTTTTCCTCCTCCCCTTATTCTTGTACACACATCTTTCTCTTAATATCACGTATCTGTTTTTTTTCTCTGAATTTTTGTTGTTCCTAAATTTGATAAATAGAAACCCATTTCAACTATAAACATTGTTGATAAGTGGAAATGGGTGCAAAGTTATAATTGGCATGATTTGATACATTCTGGATTTTTAGATGCCTTAGCTATTCAATATCAGACCTGCAATTTTGTTTTGGTAACAAATAAGGCTAAGCTTAGGAGCTCTTCCATTTTGGCATGGAAGAATCGGGGATGAGGGATATCTCTCCGACTGGGACGGGAACGGGGATTCCCCGAAACCTCTTAAACGGGGACGAAGGCGGGGATGGGAAGCGGGGATGGGAAGCAGGGACAGGGATGGTATTGCAATACTTGGCCCCTACTAGGTTCGTTGCCATCTCTAGTGCCAACGGGGTCTAGCTCAATGAAAAATGGCCTTGAATTGCAGACAAATGGTCTCACGTTCAAACCCCCATAATGATTGTGTGTGTGTGTGTGTGAGAGAGAGAGAGAGAGAGAGAGAGAGAGAGAGAGAGAAACCTCCTCTCCTTGTAGTTTAGACTATGGCTGATTTTTTTTTAAAAAGAATTTGGTTGAATTGTTATTTAGATTAACTTATTAACTAGTTTAACTCATTTAATCATCTTAACCTATTAAGCATATTTAAACTCATTTAATCTAATAAGTATTTATATTTATCAATAATGTAACTCAAATATTTTTATAAGTAAAAATTACAAAGAGAATACCTGAGGGCAAACTAACGTAAGGGAATCCCAAAGAGCACCGAAGGTCATTTGAGGTGGAAGAGAGTGTATCCAAATATGTCTAGTGTGGGTGCTACGAGCAGACAACGCATCTGCCACAACATTGGCCTCTTGGAAAACATTGGAGAAGGAAATAGTCTCAAATCAAGGGATAAGATTATGCACATTGTGCACAATCGTAGCTCAGTGCCACGAAGTATTGATTTTGGTATTATTCGTGTTGATCATGAGCTTAGAATCACCCTCCACTTGAAACTTGGTAATAGGTTTTGCCTTGGTTATGATAAGGTCATCTTGTAAAGCTTGTCCTTCTGTTATCAACACATCAGCGTGTCGAAGTAAATAGAGGTACATGTAGGATTCCTTATAACAAAATCCGATGCAGCCTAAGTATCATGTTGGATTGAGCCATCAAAATTGAGTTTGTGGCAATGAGGAAGGGGTGGATGCCATGTGATGGGAGCGCATAAGCTATAAGGAGTTGGACTACTCCTATATGATGGGGGGAGTGGGCCTTGTCACAAGTCACATGTAGGATCGCTTCTCCAATGTGTTGTGCAATCATGATATCCTCAAATGCACTAACAATTTTATAATAATTTTGTAAATATTTTACAAAAAATACAAACTAAATGCAAAAAAAAATAAAATAATTCTAACCAAATTAAAATTAATATTTAAAAGAGTTAAATGTGGCTTGTTGATATGACCTATTTATTAAATAGGTTGATTGATTGACCCAAAAATAAACGGGTTAATTGATTGATCCGAAACTCACCCATTATTTGGTAACTATGTTTTACCTCTATATTGTCAAAGAATATAATAATGTTACTAAGAAAACTATGTTAGTCAATCCTGTATAGGAAACCCAACTATAAATCTACTAGCTATATCCCACATGTCCTACTTTGTTAAAGAAAATTACGATAGACAACGACTGGGGTTTGTTTCGTTGTCTGTACAGTGAACGATTTCTTTCTATTTCGGGTCAAAAGTGAACGATTTCTTTTGGCTGGCCTATTCTTTTACGCAATGACTGTCGAGTTTTAGAAACAAATGGAAGTTGTTCTATGCGGTGGCTAAGTGATTGGCCACCCCTTGTACACACGAGTTAGGTCCGCATACATTAGAGTTGTTTTGAAAATGACATAGTCAAAATAATAATAGGTTTAGGCCATGAACTTCAAACCCTATAGCAGTAGAGCTAATGACTCACTATGAAAAGCTTTATTGAGAGTATTCATCGCATTGAAAAGTTAAGGGACATAATATAAGCTTATAAGGGATTGGACTATTCCAATTATATATATATATATATATATATATATATATATATATATATATATATATATATATATATATATATATATATATATATATATATATATATATATATATATATATATATATATATATATATATATATATATATATATATATATATATATATATATATATATATATATATATATATATATATATATATATATATATATATATATATATATATATATATATATATATATATATATATATATATATATATATATATATATATATATATATATATATATATATATATATATATATATATATATATATATATATATATATATATATATATATATATATATATATATATATATATATATATATATATATATATATAGTTTTTTCGTAATAAGAAATTAAAACTAATAATATTCTTGCTTGGACTGTCAAATAGTAACAACCAGCGACCAGTTAGCATATATTCCTTTGTTTATAATATATGCTTGTCTGTATTGTGTGGGTTGGAGGGTTTGGGAAGGGAGGGGTGTGGTTCAGACAAAGATTTTGCTGATGCAACTTGTAAGTCGGTGAGACACCATTTTAGGACAGCCTTTGGCAGTTGTTGCACATGTCGACAACCGACTCAAATATACAAAATAAAGTTCAGATGATCATTGCTTTTCACAACAATGGCAATGCTTTGCTCACAAGCCAATTGGCATGGTCCATGGACTCAAATTAAAGCAATCCATCCTTGCCATTTTGGTATTCAATTTCCCTTTTTCATTTTTGGAACCCCAATGTCAAACCCTAATTGGGTAATGGAATAATTTGATATCCTACTACAAGTTTTAAGTAACTTAGTGCTATGAGTTAAGACTTATCTATTTCAAATTCTAGAAAGAAAGTCACAATCTATGACTTTTTTTAGGTCTTAATGGACAAGGAATGACGTGTTCGAATATTAGACATCTTCCAACACGAGAAAGAGAAATATACAAAATACAGCTAGACCAAGAACTGATTAATATAAGGATACCACTTGCTATATATGTCACTGTATATCTATCACGCGATGATGAAGTGCACGACATTTTTGTCAGAAACAGAGATGTTTGATTGTTTGTATTCCAGGCTCATGGCCACTAAAGTATTACTAGTTGTGGGATTTGAAGTGGTGTTCTTTGGACTTTTTCCATTTGGTTTGTTTGACTGCTTGAGAAGAATTAAATCTCCTTCGCAAGTTGCAAGCCATTTAGGGAAGGGAGACATTGAAACTAGCCATTTTGTACAATTTTGTCCTCCTTTGGTTTAGAAAATAAAGAAAGAAAGAAAGAAAACCCTGATTTTATAGAAAATAAATTAGGTTTATTTAATCTCGATTAAAGTTCACAAACTCAAGCCAAAAGAGAGGCCAATTTTGTTTTTGTTTTTATAAATCAAACCTTGATATAAAAACTCAATAATTCTACATGCAAAATTTCAGAAAATTCTTCTAAAATTCCAAATAATCCAAATGAAATTATTATCAATGAAGTTTCCGACCCTCCCTCCCAAATAACTCATCACAAAGAAGAAAATAAAGATGTTATGCCATCACTCTTATGAACATTATTGATGTACATCATGATCACGATAACGACATTGTTCTATAGTAGCAAAAAAAATTTACTAGACAAAAGTCGGTCCAAGTTGGCGGGTAAGAATATTTCCATTTTTCCAAGCTAAAAAGAATAAGACTTAAATCAAACGTAAAGAGATTGCAATTTGCGAAATGATGTCTCCCCCATAGAAAGCCCCATAGCCTCCTAGGTGCCTATGAGGCTACCCACTCTCTCACTTTGGAAAAGAGTCGAATTTAAAAGCGTGTCTCGACTCTCGACTCAAGGTTAAAGTGGGCTGCGTGATTTTGAAGTAGGTACTTGCTTTTAGTTAAAAGCAAAAGTAAATTTTAGAATCACTGTTACAAGAAGTTAAACAGCTCTTGTCAAATTCTAACTCCTTCGAGCTTTGAACAGATCATCAACCCTGCTGTATCATATAAAGTTTTGTTATATATAATATTCTTCAAATTTACATAAATCATAGCTTCTAGTTTTTCTTGAATGATGGATGCCCTTATTTCTCCCAAAACACCCCAAAAAAGAGAGTACACATTCCTACTTTATGATCGAAATTACCTCGTTCTAATTGTTTTTTGGATTAAATTTTTTAATATATCATTAAAATTATTACAATTCATGACTTTCCATACGTTTAAATTAACACATAACCACATAAGTGAATCAAAAGTTATGTGGGTACCATGTTAAAGTCTGTTATTTAATATCCCCAAAATTAGGAATAAGATCAACTAGGGGAATAGTTGATCCAATTCCAATTCATTGATTCTCCTATCTAAATTTTATGATCCATGACTTCAACAATCATGGTAAGTAAAAATTGATCAATCTTAAACCCTAAAATTATATTGATTTTATACATACAAAGAATACATAAGACAAGATACTATTTTAAAGGAATATTTTTGGCACTTTCAAAAAGCATGATGTTTGGGCTGCAAGACATGAATAAATTGTCAATAATGACAGTTTTGAATATACAAACATCACGCTGTAAATAGTCCGGTTGTGAATGTTTAGCTATAACTGTTAAAGTTGATTTTCTCACAAACCGTCACGGAATTTGCAAGCAAAAGCCCAAAAGTTGTGGTGACAAACTTGGTTATTACGTGTTCGTTCTGAAGATTCACGAATCTGGATATCTTGCAGCAGTAAAACTGTGAAAGGGATGGGTTTTATCATTTCATGTCAAGCCTGCATTAATAGAACTGACCATCGTTCTTTGATTAAGGCCCCGCTTGATTCATAGGAAAGGAGGCTTGGGGATGGAAAATGACACGGGAAGTGATTTCCCCTCAAATCTATTCCATGAACCAAACGGGGCTAAGAGTCCATTTGAAATTGTTTTTATTGAAAACACTTTTGCTCATAAGCGATTTTATTAGAATCACATTGAAATATGTATATAAAAATCCAAGTGCTTCATGAAAGAATACTTAAAAGTGCTTCATGAAAATATACTTAAAAGTACATTGAAGATTTTTTGTGAAACGTTGTTAGAATTGCTTTTTGGAGCTTGGCCATGTCTAAGCTAAATTGCTCAGGCATTTTAAGATAACTCCCTATGGAAAAGGCTCCATGATACATTCACTGGTTCATGACTTGGGTAATATCCCAAAGCTGCCTAACTAAATTAAGAAAACAACAGAAAAAAAAGAAGAAGACTGTTTTTGGTGGAGGCTCCTGACTTCTTTGGGAGTGATTTCATGCAGGGTTTGGTTATTTAATAAAAATACAAATAAACAACACCTATCAATGCAACATTCAGAAGATCAGGGGATTAAAAACAATTAGCTCGACTGTTTATCCATCATTACCACAAATGTCAAAAGCAAGCTCCTTGCCTTTTCATTTATTTCCTATTTCTTTTTGGTAGCTAAGCAAATTGGAGGTTGGTGCATGGACTTGCCAATATGACAAAGATCTCCATATAAATCAATGAAAATATGGTTTAAAAAAAAAATCCCATTGCAATTTGAGTGCATTTATATAGTTATTGAACAAGCACTGCAGAAGGAGCAATTTAATAATTCAATTGTCCTACTAAAAATCCAACGATACAGCCTAATGTTAGTCAAGAAATGAAACCACTGAAAAAGAATAGAGAAATATCCAGACCCACCAAAGAAGGAAAAGAGTGAGGGTTTCATAAGACATCTTGCAACTAGAACCCTTCTTTCCAATTCCTCCACCGTGAAATACCATTAACATATGAAGCTTTATTGTATCATATACGAGCAACATATGAATTGGCGAGCGTGACATATCTAACCCACCGATATGGATTATAAGTTCCAGATTTCTTTGCTATCTGCAAGTACTTTACCTTCATAGGCAAGAGATGGAAATAAACAACACAGTTTAGCTATCCAATCTTAACACATAAACAACATGAAAGTAATCATTGCACAATACACATAATGCAGGAACATGAACCCTCATTGCACAATCAAACACAAGGAAGAACGTATCAAGTAATCATTCTTCACCTATTGCCCTGTCAAGACCTACCTATAAAAGAAGTTTAGTAGTTTCTTTTCTTTTCTTTTCTTTTCTTTTTCTTTTTCTTTTCAAAAAAGCACTGGGGATAGCATTGTTATAGGGCTGGGGCGACTAATGCTAAGAGGGTGGGATAGGTATCAGGCATCATTGCCAACCTGTTCCATTACACATTATATTTTAAAATAAGAAATGACATTTTACGCATTTTTATAGCTCCATTAGAAATCAACCCTTTTTAAAGAAACCTTTTATGGACTATAACAAGGGCGTGCCATAGTCGAGGATTTAGGTTGGGATGGGATATGAAATCTGGACCCACATTCAACTCACAGATTCAACTGATAATGGTCCTTTCAAGTCCAAAACGAGATAGCTTTAGAGAAACTGTTATTAGCTTTTTTATGCGCCTATGTAAACAGTTTTATAAAGACACCTGTGACCTAGTGACACGGATTGTATGGACAATTAATCAAGATGGGCTAGCAGCCCAACCCAACTCGTAGGAACACAACCTGACCAAAAAGACTCGCATAGCAACAGGATACGAGCAATGAATTCAACAGGACTCTCATAAAGAGATGAACAATATACAGAAAAGATATTAACCATATAATTTACACCCATTGCATGGTTTGAGAGAGGTAAGTATGAAACTTATGACAATGGCTTACCTGAAGTCTTGAAGAATTATACATAGGTATTGTAAACGTCATGCTAACTGGACCGGATTCTTTTGTTATATTTCCTGCATTGAGCATGTAATGTCATAAATGTGTACATAACATGCGTATCTGAACGAAAGCAGTGAAGGAGATACTAAACCCATAGTAAAACAATGATAAAATTATACCATGTGCTTCCGGTGAAAAGGTCAGTCTGGCACGCAGTGTATGTTCAGATCCACCAACAATCTGTTTTGCATTGAACTTGTCAGTATGGTAGATGCATTAAATGAGTGAAAAGTCAAGCACTGCTAAAAAGACTACTTAATAACTCAATAACATGAACACATAACAAAATTGATGATAAATTATTGCCTTCTTTAAACCCCATTCAAGTCTCTTATTTGCTTCCTTGAAATCTGTTGTTTGCCCAACTGCTCCCGGTTCCAACTCAAAACTGGCTCTGAAATAAAGAACAATGGCACAAAAATGTCAACATTGAAATACGATGAAAATTTTATAGTGAAATTCAGCATCTAATTAATAGATTAAGAGTCATGCAAAAACACTTAACCATTTCATCATATCAAATGGTATAGTGATGGCATTGAATAAAACCTAATATTCTCTTAGCAATAAATAATAAGTAAAAAGTTACCTGATTGTATATTTAGGTAGCGGCATTTGTACAGCAATTGTATTTGAAGTAATGTTTGATGGGAACTCAGCAAATATTTTCAGAATCACTTCGGCCTACAGTGGCAATTCCAAACTGTAAATTCCTACCAGCACTACTACATGATCTATAAATGATATTGAATAATACAAAGTCAAAAAGAATACATATTCCACAAAGGCCATTATAATAGTGTAAGTCCAGGGCAGTCAATATCTTGATTAAAATCTGGTTCTTTATCTTCCTGAATATTTTTTTTTTGGGGTTAATTTCACAACCTTAAACCATAAGATGAAACTTATGAAACATTATTCACCTTAAGCGCTCCTGCTTCTTCAATCAAAGCATTAATACGAAAAGGAGGCTTGAACTCCTGAGTCATACGGTAGTTCATGACAGGAAATTCACCATCAGGGGGTACCTAAAATTAGTAGCACAGAGCACCCATTAATCATTTAAACAACAGATGTCAAATTAGTCGAATCCTTTTATCTAAACAAGAATAATCTGGCTCATTTTCACTTACCAGGGTCAGAGTTTTGTCTACTTCAAAATTATCAAGACGTACAGATTCGTGAAAATTACAATCATCAAGTATCACTGCTCCTGAGCCAAAGGAACTCCTATAGTCTGTAAGAGAAAGCAGCATTTGAGATTGTGAAAGGACTAGATATAAGTTTGATAAGAAACACTTGCCAAGATATAAACATATTAAAGCTACACCGAAGCATTGCAGTTGATGATTGTAGCCACTAGTATCATATAGTTCAAAATATAAGAAAGAGGGACTTTTCTTGAGGTCATATAATCCATTAAAAATCTTACCTCAAATTTTTAGTTCATCAATCTAAAAACTAGAAAAAATTTCACAACTTAAAATCTTAAAATCAGACCATCATGCTTTGACCATAACACCTCAGACAACTCCATGCACCCACCATACACATGAAAATATTGATTTTCGAAAGATAGTTGTGAACTTGTAAAACATAACAGCAATTTGGTGCCATGTAAGATAAATACCATATGCCGATCCTCCACCTCTTCCTATGCTCAGGTCCTCATTAAGAGCTAATCGGATTTCTGGATTGCCAGTGAGATAGCTCTTCATTTGAATGGTGCCATCAATCTCAGAAGTCAGTATGTACCCCTGTATAACAACATTAGATTAACTAATAGGAATACAACAATGCTGCACATCTAATTGACTATATAGTACTGTTACCAATATATTGAATAAATATAGGCAAGTTCAGGAAAAGCCTAGAATTAAGTCAAAAGAATCTGCTAGTAAAGTTTATGTACCACATGCATATTTACAAGAATGATTGATGTGCCATTTGATTGGTTGGTAAATACTTATCCATTTTAAAAGTTTAAGGCTAAAGCTATGAGCAGTAGAACCTCAAAGATTAGTTTTCATCCAGACGCAAGTGCCCGAGATGAAAACTAGGATTTTAGTATTTATTTTACTTTCAGCTCTTACTTCAAAAACCCTAATATTAGCTGCTACTGAGCAACCTGTTCCTTGATAATCAGTCCCTCTATGGTGTTTGAATCCATCTAAAACATAATTTATACTATCTTTAAAGAACAACATAAGTGGAATTTCCATATAAGGTCTATAAAAGAAAATGCTTGAAATTAGATACAGCCTAAAGGGATAAGCAGTCACCTTTGGATAGCAAGAACACAACAGAATAAAATTTAAATAGATGTCGTTGATCTCATTCAGAAGAACCACTGGACATACAATATGACATTAAAAAGGACAGAAGGTATGCAGGATTTCCTTATCAAACCAAAGAAGTTCATGATAACACTTGGCTAAGATAGCATCAAATTTTGCTAGTTAGAAACTGTAAGATCTTACTATTATGTCTACTATAATTGTTATATTTTAATGCTATCAGGAAAGAGTGGTTGCACATAATAGTCAACAAAAGACACAAATACCCACACTAGAGCTAAAAGTAACACTGATCTTCTCGATTATATCCACAAAAATTTCCTCCCTCTTCCTACCGCCAGGCTCACTTGCAACAACTGATTTTGTGACAGCTGTTCCAGGCATTCTCTTTGTCCCTTGCTGCATGCATCAGTTTTGGTAGTCAATAACTAAAATGCTACTAAGTTAACAACAGAAATAATATTCCACATATGCACAATTTATTTTCTGAAGTAATTAATTGATAGATGACACCATACCATAAAAAGGCCAGTAGGGCCAATAGATGATAAACGTGCAGAATCAAGAATAATTGGCTCATTAAAGATATAAGACTTCAACAGTTCAGTTGATGTTGTTTGCACAAAGCCAAAATCCTGACATGAAAAGACAACAGTCAACTCACAAGTGATTCAATATATTCTCAATTTCCATGGATGATATTATCACAAAGTTTGAATGCACTTATCAATTTTATCAGCATCTTTTGTTTCCTTTTTTATTTTTTATTTATATGAAACACAAACTTTCATTGGATAGAAAATGAAAGTTATAACACAGGGGACAAGGTGTTCCCTGAACATCACTCATCAAAAAGTAAACCCATCGCCAACACAATAAATAGCATGAAAAGACCAGTCCCAAGATTCTGAAGAAAAGTCCACAAGGATGTCCAGACTCCAACTCCATCTCGCAAATTATCAATATCCTTTCCCTAGCACCCTGAAAAAATATCTTGTTCCTCTTCATCCATACAACCCAAAATATTTTCAATACAACACATCTTCTTAGTACCAAACCCCTTTTCCTCCCTCCAAAAAACTATAAGATTTCACACAGTAAAGCATCACAGGAAGCTAGGATTGCCCAACTCAAGCTGGCCTTATACAGCCTTAGCCTTATCGACAAAAAAATACATAACTGGGCAAGGGAGCAGTCAGTAGTTTGTATATTCAGCATTGCCTTTGCAGAATACACACCATTGAGGAGAAAGAGACCGACAAGGTTTCCTCCTCTGCACCATGCCAAGGTGCTCACCTTCCCATGAGCAATAACTGAAGCTAGAACCTACACCTTAGGGGTACTTCGGCCTTCCAAATTGCATTAGAGGGGCCACAAAGAGGAAAAGAAGACTCATCCATTAGTTTCCATGAATAGGACTTACAAGAAACAACTCCTGAAAACTTGAAAGCCCAAGTTCTCCTAACCTGCATAGATGGGATCAACACCACATTTTTAAGAATAGGTAGTAACTCTGTTAAGTTCCCCACTTATGAGTCATTCACGTTTCAAGGGTTCAAACACAAACTAGCACTGGGAGCATTATGAGATCGTGATAATCTGTACAAACGAGGAAGAGAATAAAATTTTGTTTCCCCCCACCCATTCTCTTCCCATAAACTTCACCCTTTCTCTATTCCCCACCCCGAATCTGCAAAGAAAAGCAAAAGAATTTAGGCCTTGAGAGATGTCATTCAAAGGGCACTGACTTGAACCCCTGATCACGATGTTATAATCCCAGCCATTCTCATACAGCCTATATTCACTCTTAATGAGAGCCTGCCATATTAAATTCCTCTCCACCTAAAAGCCCCATAACCTTTCTCCCAACTTAAGCTTTATTTCTCCTTGCTAAGTTCTCCATAACCTTTTCTCCCAACTTAAGCTGTATTTCTCCTTGCTAAGTTCCCCACTCCTAAACCCCCTTTCTCTTTCATTGAGTCACCACATCCCATTTAACCAAGTGATCCTTTTTTCCTCCCTTCATTGCTTCCCCCAAAATTAAAAAATAATTCTTATAAAAAATCTCCAGCCTCTAGACCACAGTTGTAGGAATCTTAAATAATGACAGGTAATCTCAAAACTGCTTGAATAAATGCCAATCTTCTCCCTCTAAAAGGAAACCTCTACTCTACCCTTCTGCTAGTGAAATTGTATCTTCCTTATCCATATATTTCAAAAACATAAAGTTATAACACTTCTCAAAAGAAAGGCTAGTTATTGCATTCTAAAATTCCAATCTCAAATAATCCAATTGATACACACACACACACACACACATATATATGCTAAACTTTAGTTTGAACAATTCTAATTAAAAGCACTAGTCCTTCGGATAATTGTAAGAATATAACCTGGGGGTGAGGGGAAATATCAGGGACAGGGACAAGTAATGTTTACAAAATGATCAACAGGACGTTAATTCTAGATTTACAGAATATGGTAACTAACAAATTACATTTTAAATTTTCAATCTAATATAAAAACTATCTTAGCGCATAGTGATGATAAGAAGCATGATGTCATATATGCTAAAGAAAGATCCACCGAATAAGTTAAAAAAAATATAAGAGGCGCTTACCATGACTTCATCAAGCAACTCGTACACAAGCACAAAATTCTTCCTTATTGAATCTTCATTGAGAACTCCAACATAATCTTTGATGACACGGGCAATTCTTTGAAGAAGTTCCAAGACAAGAGATGGCGATACATTAGCTCTTGTGGTTGCAACAAATAATAGTCCAACAACCTTCACATGAAAGTAGTTGACACCATCCACATTCTATCGATTGAGTAAAGAAAAGGTCAGCACAAGATACCAAATATCCATTCCATACCCAATCAAATATGCACGCACAATGGGTTATAAACCAAGACAAGACCTACTGTAACAAAGCAATACAAAAAGAGTGAAATGACAAATCAATATCATGATGTCCAATTAACCACTTTAATGGGTACACTGCGTACTTGGAACCCATTTTATAGTTCCAGATATTCAAGGGAAAATTAACCCATGCCAGACATTCCTCAGTAAGATAATACCTACAAAGACAGGTGGTGCTTCCTCTTGCCCATCTTCTTTCCAAAACTTCACCTTCCGGAAAAATATCTCCGCACTTCCTTTTGGTACTTCACCGCGATCTGCATTAAAAAATTCATATATCAAGAAACATCTTTCAGCACTAAACTCCATCAGAACATATTTCTCAAATGCTTATTTATTTAGACTTTCTTATGTTGGAACCAAAAAAAAAACGTTTCTTTAGACTTGTTTTTCTATCTCTCGTCATACCCATTTCCAAAAAGGTCAACATGGTACCAAATTCTTCAAAAACAGAGCTCAATTTGTCTCTTCATAAATAAAAAATATTTGGGAAAATTAGCAGTATGCATGTTCGATCTAGGAAAAACCGCTAGAGTCTAGAGCTGAATAAAACAGTGTTTTAGAGCTAACTTGAAATACCAAACGCAACAAGTGATCTAAACGAAGATTTAACTACATAGGAACTGAGTTGCTGAACATTTTAGATCGGAATTAAAAATCTGAGTGACTGAAATTTGAGATTGGATCAGTCGAGAGAAAGAGAGGAGAGAGACTGACAGTCGCGGAAGACGATGTTATCGCCACGCTGTGAGAGCACGAAGAACTGCGAGATCATGGCTTTGCTTACTTCTTTCTCCTCCCTGTGTCCGAAATGCGGTGGGTGTTCCTCAAGCTCAGCTGTTGAGTTGAGGCCCCGATTGCTTTTGTTCGTATATTAGACCCAACTTCGCTCAGCTAATCAAGTTTACAGTTTTACTTTTTAAACCGTTTTGTCTTTTAATTTTATCATTTTTTTTCTTGATACTGGGATTTCGCATTTGGTACTTATTTCAATATTACCAGCCCCTTCATGCGCGTGCCAATCTCCTCCATACCATTAAATATCACATTTCATCTTACTTTTTGTTAAAAAAATCATTTACCTTCCATTTCGTAAAGGAATTGAAAATTATATAGAATTCTAAAATGATGGAATATAGATTTCCATCATTTCAATTTCTGGCAATTGAAGATTTCAGTGTTTGGATTTATGTATGTCGAATTTTGTAAATGACAGAATTTTGTAAATTGCACTATGAAAATTGTGAAATGACTCCTATTTTGATGGAAATTAAACTTAAGAATTTGATGCCCCAATTTCCACGATTTTTTCCACGCGTCATTTAATAAATTCCGTGCTTAAGTTGCCAAACAAGAAAATTGTCAATTTCTCCTCTTAAATTCCCGATTTTTAGTTAAATTCCGAGTTATTTTCCCTCATCCAAATGGAGGGTTAAAATTATGCTTTGAGAAAAATAATTAAGGAAAAGAGAAGGAGAAAAAACAAAAACAAGGCAAAGCTACACGCAAGCAAAGAAAAGAATCTCCTCTCCCAAGTTTCGAAATTCATCACCTACACTGCTCACTGTATCGTCTGCTACACTGATGTACAATCACACAATTGTCGTTAGGGATGTGCAAGATCCAATTCAATTCAATCCAATCCAACCAAATTGACTGATCCAATCCAATTCAATTCAATTTTAATTGGTTTCGATGATTTAGCAAATTGGATTGAATTCCTAATTTCCAAAACTGACATGATTGGATCGGATAACAAATTTGCTTGTGATAATCCGATCCAATCTAAGTTAGTTTCATGCTTATTTTACTTATGTAGGTATTTGTAATTGAAAAAGTTATGAACATTTGAAGTCATTTAATGGGAGTTATATTTAATATACTATAGAATCAGAATAATTTTCTCTAGCATTTCATTTATATTTTAAATTTACATATATTAATATGTTTGATTAGATTAAACCTATTGATAAATATTTTATATTTCATTATTGTATTTTCTCATTATAAAAAAGATCATCCAATCCAATATCAATTGGATTGGATTGGATTGTATTTAAATTTTTGATCTGATCGGATTGGATTGGATACATCACAATCCAATCTATATTGGATGGTGTCACACTCTGGACCCAGCGTAAGGTAAAATCTTGTGCCTGATGCGTCATAATAAACTAAATAAATAAATTAAGATTAAACGATCAACCTTCTCAAATAATATCTGAAAATATCTACATAAGCAAGATCTGCTTCCTCTTAGCTTGTAAGTTATCTTTAGTTCTCCTAACCTCTTAGTTCTCTACTTTGCAAACCTGCCAAAATATTAGTTTAGGGGTGAGCATCAATAGTAAATAAAACCTTGCCACAGTAAATTAATCTAACTAAATTAAGTGTCATGGAATCATATAATCACATATCAGATCAATAGTAATAATGCATGAGTGCAAGGCAAACTCCTCGTCTATTCCCGTAATCAAGCGTACTTTCAACTTATGACATCCAAATCAAAATTTTAAATATTTTCTTCTTCACTTCTGATAAACCACAAATTAAATTAAACCAAATAAACTCCCAAAAATTCACTAAATTATGTGGAAAATTTTACAATGATTTCTAAGCACCTCAAAATATTTAGGGTCTCACAAATGGGATGCGGATTGACTAAATTATACTGGTTTCAAACTTACGCACCCCTAGTTGTCGCATCATGATGTGAGAGCGATCAAGAAAACCAAATCAACCTTACACATCTTTTCCATGATTTCTCTCTCTATTTCTCTGTATAATATAATTAACCTCCTTCCCTCACTAATTGCAACTTGTACAAAGAGCGAGAAAAGTAGGCCATCAAATATGCCTATTCATTTCCTAACATTGGTGATATGTCTCTTTGCGCTTGGGGCTTGCGTTTATAAAGGGAAGATGATTGTCACGCCCCGGACCCGGGGGTAGGCGGAAACCCCCGCGCCCGGTGCGTGAGAAAATAAAAAGTAAAATAAAATAAAATAAAAAGAAGTCGAAACATGGGTTTAAAATAAACTTCTCTTATAAAAATAGTTTTAAAATCTTACAACTTTACATGAAATAAATAAAGCTCTATCACTCTCATCTAATTCAGCTTCAACCGATTTAGTCATTGTCTTGCCCACTAATTCATCTGAAAAATTAAACAGGGTGAGGGATGAGCAACCACCGCTCAGTGAGTAGATTATGTAATATGCCAGTCAAGCAACGCCGTTTTACACACACTAGAAAATATCATGAAAAGATACACAAATCCAGATCATATCACATCATCCCTTCATATCTCGGTTATCCTTCATAGCATGTAACCGATCACGTGACTCCTATTGGCCTCACTGCCCTATGTCCCCGTGTGGTACATCTATCCCTCGGATACTCCAACATTGAAGTTCTCATGTTCCATGAATAATACATACTTCATATTCCAATCAATATATATATAGTGTGAAATATTGCACCAAATTAGACATGCTTGACTTGAAATAAAGAGATATTTGTAAATAGAATAAATCCACGATAATTCATGGTTTTCATATTTTATCACAAAATAAGAACTTTTAGAACACATTACATAAACCACTCACCTCGCTAAATGCATTTCAAATAATAATAGCATGCATAATATATTGTTCACAAAATTTAATTAAATCAATCTTTGCAAAAGGCCCCCAAGAAACCCCTACCTTGATTCCAAAGCAATACACCAAGAAAATACAAGCTAAGCCCTATATCTCTTCCAAGAGTTTCATCACCATTCTCTCTCTCTCTCTCTCTTTTATTTCCTCGTTCTATTGCCTCTACTTTTCTGAAGAGGGAAATGATAATTGAAGAAACAATGGTTGTATTTATAGGATTTCAAGGGCGGTAGTTATGAGATAACTTCAATGCATAAGGATCATCTCCTTATTTCAAGTAGCTTTTCCTTCACTCTAAGTCAATAGAAGGATAAGAATAAATACAATGAAGACACGTATTGATGACTCAATCATCTAATTCATTGACATCTAATTAGTTTGTAAGCAAATAAAACTAGTAGACCATCTAATGCATAATTGATTGACACATGCTAACTACGTGGAGTACATAAAAGAACTCAATTTACACAGCCATGCATGATCCTAGATAGCTATGCACAAAATCCTTCTACCATGAAGTAATATTAATATTAAAAGCAAATTTTAAGAAAATCATCAAAATCATTTAATTTTCCTGAAATATAATATTTATTTATTTATTTAAAAATACGAGATTTCACAATGATGATGTTCGGGGTGGGTTGGGGTGAGGGAGATTGAAGAAGGTTGATGTTTGGGTTAGGGTTTAGGTTTAGGTTTAGGTTTATTTTTTAAAATTATTATTTTGTGTGTAAAATGACCAATTTACCCTTAAATTGCGTCACATGCTGGCACATGATAATTTTTGGGTAAAGTGTCATTTTACCCCCCGAATTATGACCCTAATTGAACTTAACCCCCCGAACTAAAAAGTTAGCTAATTTAGCACTTGAACTCATTATAATAGCTAATTTAGACCTTGCCGTTAAATTTTTTAAAATTTCATCCAATTTTCTGTTATTAACAAGGATAAGATTATAATTTTGAGTAAAATAGTAGTCAAATATATAAAATAAAGAAATAAAATAACAATATTTATAATTTTATAATTGTTATAAAAAAAAGAGTTTTTCTATTTAAACTCCACAATCTTATTTGTTCACCCCAATACTTAAATTATTAGGCTCTTAAGTTTTATTATTGTGTAAAAAGACAAAAAAAGTCATCCAACTTCATACTTAACCCTAGTACATCTATAAACACACCCCACTACTCTTCATAGTAAGTTTTAGAAAAACACAAAAATTTATTTTATCAAAAATTATTAAAGAGAAATTTGTTTTATGAAAGATATTAAGACCCTATGTTGTTTGGAATTAAAAAAAAAAAAACTAGTAAAGTATGACCAGCACCCTCTTTTTCCATTTTGAAATATGGAATTGGAATATGAAATTCTATTGTACAAATATCGAATCAAACAATAGAAATATTAATTTGTTAGGTGGATCAAATTGACATATAATTTTGATTTTTTGAAGTAGCAAGATGCCTTTTGTTCATGTGCCTACTAATACCATCTTCAGTAGGGTATTTATCCATCGTTTTTCTTAGTTCATTTTTAATTTTTCAAAAAAAAAAAAAAATGCTGCTAAATATTTGACAATATTGTTTTTATCTCTTTAATTAATGTGAGGTTGAAGTGAATGAATTTTTTATTTTTAATTTTCTTTCTGGGTGTGTATTTTGAGGTAGTTTGAAAAGAAAGTGAGATTTTCTTAGAAATTGGGAAATTTTGAATTAAGAAGATATGGGTGAATAAAAAGAAGTGCGGGTAAAACTAAAAAAAACAAAAACTAGCATTTCAAAGAGGCAAGAGTGCCAAACTTTGTACCAAGACAATAGCTGGAGTGCAAAAATGAGAGGCTTGTCTTCTCTCTGCCGGAGTAGCTGGTTATCGAGGACAAGACGAGAAGCTCCATTCTCAATCTTATGCTCAAATACTCTCTGTACTGACAACAGTGATGGGGTTCAAAGCTCAAGGATCAAGATCTTCGATCGCCATTTCAGACGCAAACAGGTTCAAATCTCTTGTTCACAAATATCTGTGAAGTGTCTCAATTGGGCAATTGGGTTGAGGTGGGCAGTCTGAGAAATTATTGGATTAACTCATTTTCATTTGATTTTTCAGAAAAATTTGTTATTTGTTATTGTTCGGAAGGTGTTGAGTTTTCTATGTGTTTAATGTAGCTTCAGTAGCTACCGAAAGACGATTAGTATTGCTGAACAAATTTATTTAATTTCAGCTTG